GGCGGGGGCCGGCTGGGCCTGGGACCCCCTTGGGGAAGATGGGAGTGCGGAAAGCAACAGGGCTTCTCTTCTGGGAGGTTAAACAAACAGGCCCCTGTTACATCCCCCTTTGCCAGCAAGCCGTTAGGACTTTCATATGAATGTCCAAATCACAACGAGCTTAAATAAAATTAAAATCGTTGTTAAAATCGTTTTGACAATGAAACTGGTTCCTTGAAAGTTTCCCTTGTTATCCTTCTGTTTTCCAGAGCTTCCAAACGAAGCAAGTGGCAAAGCGATGTGGGACAGAAGCACACCGATGGGAAGTGTTCGTGTTCCTCGGAGGACGTGTGTGCCGGTCCCCTGTGCCTCCCCAGCCCCACGGAGGTGCTGTGCCTACGCGAGTCCTCCCGAGCGAGTTAAAAAACACTCGTGGCTCGCCGAAACGTCGGCGGCTTGGCAGGAATCTGTGCAAGAGAGCCGGCAGCACCTCACGCCGTGGAACTCGGGTGACACAGCTTTGAGGAACGTGGACTCCGCCGGCGCAGAGCTGATGCCCGCCAGCTCTGCTTGAGCGGGGAGCGACTCACCTGGGAGCGAGGACCGGCGGGGAATCGTGCCCTCCGGTGGCGGCCGGCCGCGCAGCCCGGCCGACCCCCTCCCTCCGCTGCGCTGTCCCCGGCCCCGCCAGGCGCTGGATTAACCGAGGAGCTCCGCAGCTCTACCTCCTCCTCTCCTCTACGACCTGCTGAGGTGAACAGGAAGGAAGAAAAAGGACAAAGAAGAGGAAAAAGGGGTCCTGCACCCAGACCCTTTATATGGGCTTTCTGCCTGCTTTGCGGTTGCTCTGCTCAAGTTTGTATGCAGGCACAGAGCTTGCAGCTCCTTCTCTAATGTGCTTTAAATACAGAGGAAACTGCAGCTTAAATGTCAGTGTGGAAAGTTGCTGGGTGCTCTCGTGTCCCTTTTGAAGGGATTTGGTGTCGACCAGGCTTTCACCTAGCATCTGTAGGAATTAAAATACCTGGCCATGGAAATTTGTGGGGAAACTTCAATTGATTTCAGTGTCCTTTGAACAGGTTTTGAAGGTACAGCTTCTGAGGAAACACTGGACTGAAGGGTTCCACAACAAAAATACTCACAGAACCTGTGTCTAAGTGTCCACCAATGTCATAATTACACTGGTGAATATCCCAGGAAATCCCAGTGAGAAAGTTTGGTATTTTATCACAGAGAACATCATTTGAGAGATAAATTATAATGTATGGGGAATACTGAACAGCCTGCTGCAATGAAATTGTAATTTGTTTGGATGCACATAATACCAGTGGGCAACGTTGCAATTGTAACCACCAGATCTTGTGCACATTAGTTCTTAAACTTCTTCACTGATCCATAAACAGTCAAACAAAATCAGACCATTCATTCTGAAGCAAAAATCAAAGAATGAATCAAACTGTAAGCCTACTCCCTTCAAAAGCTGTGGTATTTCTGCCTGGCTAGGGCAGACCCTGCTTGTCCCAGCCAGAGGGTGTCTCAGCAGCAAATGCGTGGCTGTACAAGGGCCAGCATATCACTGGGGGAGATCCCTTTCAGCTGTTTCCCTGTTATCAGCCATGACAACAATAATTACAGCCGGCTTGTTCTGTCATTCTGCTAACATGATTCTTCATTTCATCTTCCTAGGAGCCTGTAGGTTATTCAGTTCCATGTTTACACCCACACCTGTAATCTAGATGGTTACTTTACCTGTGTTATACATTATTGCACAGATTACAAATTGCTGGAGCCCTTTGTGTCCTGAGAGTGTCCCTTGTAATTACTGATCCCACAACACACATTTTCCTGAGCTGAGGCCCAGACAAGCCTTCAGGAATGGACCTGGAAATATTCCTGAAAAGCCCTGAAGCTGCTTGTGGCTGTGCTTGCCACCTCAAAAGAGTGAAGCACGGTTGACAGCCTGTCGAAGGAGCAAGGGGAATCCTCATCCAAACCATGCCTATGCATAGCAGAGAACAGGATATAATATACTTCATCCCATGCTCCAGAGTTGTTTGCAGGTCTGCCTTAGTGGCTTTTAGAGGCTCAAAACAGATAGTTTAATACTGTATGAACTTCATGATAATTACTGGTTTACTGTGGAATAAAAAGCCTCCCCCTCCATCCGCATCAACACCATATATTTCAAAATAAACCAGAATTGAATTGTTTTAAACACAGCACAGTGCCTGTTCCCATTCCCTCCCAACCCACATGTATGAATACTGCAAAAGAGCAGCCATACGTGCCCATGCACACACACACACACCTCACACATAAACACACCAGTATGTCTTTCTCATACAGGCCCCCAGACATGACTCCCTGCACATCCACTCTCCTCCATACAGCTCCACACACTCCAGCACCAGGCAGAGCTGCTACCCATCAGCAGGCCTGGGGGGTCCAGGCAGGCTCCCGTGGACAGCCCAACAGCAGGTCCCTGGGGCCAGATCACTGCCACCACAGCTCACCTGCCTCCTGTACTCTTGTGATGGCACTTGAGCACATGGTTTGTAGGCCAACAATAAATCAAAATCACAATAAAAATGGTAGGATTTTCTGTGCATCCATGGCTCATACACCAGTGTGCAGGTCCCAGGTAGTACCACGTGTGTTCTGTAACTACTGCTGGGTTGCCTTTGCTACAGTTTCCATGAAGAATAACTGATCCTAAACCAAACCATCTACCATGGTCAACCCCAATCCTATGTCCTCAAGTAACTCCCTCACTACATTTCTCTGTGTCTTCTGTTTTCCAAAGCATATAATGCTCCATCTCCACCTGTCCTTGCCTCACTTGCATACCCTCCTCCTGTTCCATGGCAAAACCCCAGCATCTGTTCTCAGCAAGGTTTGGGTTTGCACTTTGGTTTTTTGATGAATGGGAGAGAAAGGAAAAAAGGGAAATGCAGGCAAGGCAAGCCTCCAGAGCTGCCTCCAGATGCTCACAGCTACTGTTTCCAACCTTTCCTCTGTGAGGGCACTGCTCAACACCCCAAAGGACTGCTGAGGCTCTGGGAACAGCCAAAATTATTGGTGAGAGGGAGGTGAAAGGAGAAACAGATCTTACCTTAAGACAGCAGCTGCTGCCAACACAAGCGAAGCCCTGAAGCTCCCTAGACAAGCCGTAGTGTCAAGGGGAGTGGAGAGACCTATGGGTTGCAGCACACGCAGCAGGAACAAGACGAAAGCGAGGAAGCTGTGTGGGCTCACTGTGGGTCTGCATGCCGGTGTGCGTTCCCTTCCCTGTAAATCAGTCCCTGTTTCCTCTCCTGGTCCTGCTTCCAGCTGTCTTCCACAAGAGAAGGTTTAGGGCAGACAGCTATTTGCTCACATCATGGCATGGAAGAACAGGAAGAGAACTAAAGAAAGGGGCAGCGAGGAAGCGGCGGGGCAGTTCCTTCCCTCCCACCGGACGCTGCGGCAGGGAGAGGGGATATTGGCCGCGTCGGGCCGGGCCCGATGCCCCTTGGCGGCGACTGCCACGGGGTCCTGACCCCTCGCAATGCCTGGGGTAGGAGGCCTCTACCAGGAGAAGCAGAGTCCCCAGGCAGAGGTGATGGAGAGCTCTTTTCCCTGAGCAGGAGACAGCGCTCTTCCAGAAGCCTCGATTTTTTCGTCCCTGGGATTCGCCGCTCCTCTGCTCTTTCATTCACCCTCCCACCTTAAGCGCAGCCGGGGACCTGCAGCACTGCCCCGGGCTTCCCGCTTCCGCCCGCGCTCGGAGGTGCCCCGTCGAAGCGGCAAAGAGGGGTGGCATGCAGTGTCCTCGCAGGTTGCAGCAATAGTGCATCGCCCCATTTACTAATGGATGGCAATTCCTAGCTTTCCTTCCCAGGCGTTCCCGTTTGAATCTGAGCTGTTGTTAAAAAGACACACCACCTGCTCTGTGCTGCCGGAGAGCGGGGAAGGAGGCACAAAGGCGGGGGACGGGGAGAAATAGCTTGGGCTGCAAACATAAAAGAGCATTTAAAATAAATAAGCTCTCTTCCCAGGAAGCGAGCCGGACTCGAGCGCCTGCAGGCAGGGCGAGCTGCAGTGAGCTGTCGGTAGGCACGGAGTGTCGGCAGAGAGGGTCTGCACGCCCTCCTGTCTCCGCTATGCCAACCTGGGGACGCGGATCCTCCCGGGTTTCTATTAAGACGAGCTCAAGGACTGGTGCGTATGTGCGAGACCAGTGCTTAGTTTCCTCGCTGCTTCCACCTCGGAAATGGCTTTCACCGAGCGCAGTCCTCCAGCCTGACAGGACGAGGCTGTGCCGTTCCCTCCTCCCCAGCCCAGAAATGTGCGACTCCCTCGCAAAGCCAGACCCCGGGGGCGCTCGGTGGCGGAGAGCGGTGTGTGCGAGAGCGGGACAAAATTAAGATGTGCCTGAATGCTGCCCCACGGGTAATCTCAGTTTTCTCCTCCTCGCAGCTAGCCGTGCGCGCTGCGGAGGAGACAGTCCTAGCGACACGGGCGACACCGGGTACCCCGGGGCAGCCGCCCCCGGCGCGGGCACTGGGCGGCCCAGCTGGCCCGTTCGCAGCCCCGGGTGGCTGCACAGGCACCACATCACCTCCTGCCCCGGCTCCTCAGCACTACCCCGAGCCGAGCTCGAACCGAAGAAGCCTGAGGGAGAAAACGCGGAGAGGGAAGCCGAGAAAGCGGTTGGTGTAAGGATGCATGTGTGTGCGGTGTGTGTTGGGGGGGGGGCAGATCACTTGTGAATGGCTTGAAAAAAAATAATTGGGGGAGGGCGTGGAGGGGGGGAAGCGGAAACTTTCCTATAAAACTCAGCAAAAGTCCCTCCTCTCCACGTCAGGCCAATGACACTGCTGCCCCCAAACTTTCCGCCAGCAGGAGCTATAAGAACCTCCAAGTCTTCAACTTTCTCCCAATCCCAGACACCTCGAAGGGGCTCCAAGGAGGGATCGGGAGGGATTTTTTTTTTTTTTTTTTTTTTTTTGTTGGCTTTTTTTTTTTTTTTAGCTCTTGGATCCTGATGCCATCCCCCCTCCCCCCAAAGTGAGGTCCTCCCTCCCTCCCTCCCTCCTCCTCCTCCCTCTCCTTGCAGGCCAGCGAAGCAGCCGATCAAGGGGGAGCTGGCGGGTTAGGTGCCCCCCTCTTCTCCCTGCCCTCCCCCCCCTCCCGGCCCGCTTCTCGCGTCTGCCCCCAGAGATGATGCAGCAGGACGAGTCAAACTCTCCAGTCTCCCCCGCCGACGACAGCTTGAGCAACAGCGAAGAGGAGCCGGACCGGCAGCAGCTGCCCAACAACAAGAGAGGGGGGCGCAAGCGGCGCTCCAGCCGCCGCAGCGCCGGCGGCGCCGTCGGGGCCGCGGACGAGCCGTGCAGCCCGGCCCAAGGCAAGCGGGGCAAGAAGTGCGGGGCGGGCGGCGGCGGCGGAGGCAGCAGCAGCGGCGGCGGCAGCCCCCAGTCCTACGAGGAGCTGCAGACCCAGCGGGTCATGGCCAACGTGCGGGAGCGGCAGCGCACGCAGTCGCTGAACGAAGCATTCGCCGCCCTGCGGAAGATCATCCCCACGCTGCCCTCAGACAAGCTGAGCAAGATCCAGACCCTCAAGCTGGCGGCCAGGTATATCGACTTCCTCTACCAGGTCTTACAGAGCGACGAGCTGGACTCCAAGATGGCAAGCTGCAGCTATGTGGCCCACGAGCGGCTCAGCTACGCCTTCTCGGTTTGGAGAATGGAGGGCGCCTGGTCCATGTCCGCATCCCACTAGCAGGCGGCTTCCCCCACCGCATCTCCCCGGCAGGAGCCCTAGGTAAGGCAGGGAGGGACTCCGAAACCGGCGGGGAGAAGGTTGGAGGGAGGAAGGGCTGGAGAAGGGGGCGAGGGACCACCAGCTGCGCCGTGGGCCGGGCACGAGTGACCGTGAGGAGAGAGGGGACCTCCCCGTCCGGCGGGGCCTGGCTTCCAGGGCCGGCCGGAAAGCTGGGCGGCTGGAGGAGCCTTCCCCCACCGCAGTGCGTCCCTCCTCCTGCGCAGCTCGAGGATCGCCCCGACTCCGCGGGGCCCAAGCTTGTTGCCGGCGGGGGTGGGCTGCGGCAGGGAGGCGGCGGTGGCGCGGGTGCGCCCTGGCCAGATGAGGCCGGCCTGGGATCACTACTGCACCAAAGGCTGCGGAGCCAGCGGGGCTGCTGGGATGGTTCCTCCCGCCGTGCTCCTGCTAGTATTTTGAAGCGAATCTGTGTCCGCTCTTGTCTTTCCCGATGAGCGTTTCCTACCCCTTCCCCGGCTCTGGCACCGCGAGCTGCCGGGCTGGAGTTGTCACTCGGCCACCGCACCGCCTGCTCGGCGGAGGTAGGGACTTCTTCCTCCTCAACTCATGCCCGAGATGTGTATTTCCAGAAACAGAGAGGTGTAGGAAGATATGTTTGTGTCTTTTATTTCAGTAACGAATTTTCCGCCCTCTCTGGGTTTTTGCAGATGACATTGTTCCCACAGAAGGAGAAAATGGACAATCTAGAGACTCTGAAGTTGGATACGATTCATTTGGTCTTGTCTTAAAAAAAAAAAAAATAATACCAAGGATTTATTGGAAATTAAAAGAGCAATATCCTAATTCAAAGCAGGGCGTGGGGAGCACTTAAGGAAAGAGACAAGGGCTTTGGAGAGTGACTACACTTTGGGCGTCGGTACAATCCACACATCTCTGCATTCTGATAGAAGTCTGAACCGTTCATTTTTTATTATTTTTTTATTTTGACGAAGAATGTTGGAATTTAACTTTTTTATTTTTATTTGCCTTTTTTTTTTTTTTTGCATGCATTCCCAAGAGGTCGTGCCTGTGAGCCACTGATGAAAGGAAATACATTATTGTGGACTTTCTTCATTCTTGAATGAAACCAACCGATCAACCAAAAAATATCCCTGTAGAGATGAAAACCAATTTTTTTCTTTTTTTTTTTTTTTTAAGGGGGGAATAAACTGGGCTCTAGCTGTTACATACCCGGTTCCTAACTTTTTTATTATTATTATTTTTCCTCTGAGAAAAAAAAAACAAAACACATTTTATTTATTTATTGATGACCCATGTTAAAATGCAAATAGATCCGGTGTCTAAATGCATTCCTATTTTTATGATTGTTTTGTAAATATCATTGTATATTATTTTTCTGCAATAAATAAATATGGTTGAAATTTTAATAACCTTAAAGTTTGGTCTCTCTGGGAACTCAGGGTTGGAACTGGAGATAAATACCTGCTTGTTGAGCTGTAAAGACACCCAAGAGAGAGGGGGCACTAGTATAAACAAACCGGGCGAAAAACGCAAATAAACTAGCTACCGACAGACACAGGCAAGTTATTTATTGAGACAGCTCTATTATTCTGCGCTGAAGCTCACTGCCTTTGAGGGGTGGTGTATGTAAGATAGTCTATCTTACTCTCCCTCTTTAATCTTAGTGCCAAGCTTCGAAGAGTTCTGCGAGGTGAGGACTTAGCACCTCAGAGCTCCGGCGCTAATGCTGTGCTTTGCCCCCCAGATGTAAGGCAGGAGCCGGGCTCATTCCCCGGTCCCTGGCGCATACGTTTTTGCTTATATCCCCGAGGAAGAGGCATCGCTTTTAAACAGGGATTAGTCCATCCACAGGCAAAGTGACAGAAAGTGAGACTGAAACAGGGAAGTGTCTAGCGAGTGATGTTTTCCGGTGGAAGCGATGTTTGACTGCTCTGCTGTCTAGGGTTTTATGTAATATATACACCAGCTATCACATTTTGATTGTGCAAAGCACGGAGGGATATGATAACCCGCCCTCTTCTCGTTTTTTAGATGTAGGGCACATGTTGCCTCTGTTTCTTTTCCCCGTGCCCTCCGCGGGGTTCCAGTATGCGGTGAGACCTCAGATGTAAGGGAGAACCCTATATAAGGGCTTGGAAGGAGGAAGGTGAAAAGGGAAGTTGTTCAAACTAAAAGAAAAAAAAACCAAAACAAACAACAACCCAAACCCAGCCCTTATAACCGGACGTCTGATTCTCCCTCTGCTGCCACTTGCTCATCTCAGCTCATTGCAGCCGGTCGGTGCCCGAGGAGCGGCACCTCCTGCTCCCCAACGAGGGCAGAGAGTGCGCGGGTGAGTCCGCTGCGATAGGGACCCTGCCGGGGTTCATCCAGTGTCTAGGGTAAATAGGAGGGCGTGCTTTTTCAAAACAGAGCCTGTTTGCATAGCCCAGGTTGATCTGACTTTATTGCCTGAATGGGTTTTTTTTTCCATATCCACGTACTCTATTGCTGATATAACAGTATTATGAATTTAATATCGTGCATATTTTAGGCCAGTGTCCAATGTTTACAGTAGAGAGCCCTCAGCGCTTGTTTGCACTGCCGGATTAGAAAGGACTCAGAAACTGGATGGGGGCTCTTGTGGTCGTGGCGCTCCGTGATGCAGAGGAGGAGGAACCGCGGCCCTCTCCCCGGCTGCCGCCACCCGGACACCTCCCGGCTTCCCAGCACCCGGAGCTTCCCGCTCGCCCACTCGCACTTCCCGAGAAACCTCGCTCCGATCCGACCTGGCTGCCGAGGAGGGGGTAATGCCTGTCCGCGGTGTCTCGGCTGCAGGAAAAGCAAGGAGCAGGGGGGGATTTGATAGGCTGGGGGTGATTTCGGTTGCTCCTTTTGAGGGAGAAATCACACCAAGGAACGGGGTGTAAAGCCTCACGTTTAGGCAGAAAACAAGGTCAAAAAAATCCGAGATACTGGGTGCCGAGGGAAAGGTGCATTTCATGGACGGGGATGTCTGCGAAATATGAATGAGGAAGCAAGTGCATTTGAAAAGTCAAGGGCCAAGCTGTGCTTGCCTTTAGAAACCCGGAGCATCGCTGCTTCCTGGACTTAAACACTCTTGACTCTGTCGCAACCAGCGAGAGGCCTCTGGCCCAGCCTGTTCTAGCCCTTTCCAGCAAGCTGAAGCACCCAGGTAAGAAAATCCCCTCAAATCTTGTTTGTGGGGCTCATTCCACAGCCAGGTCTTACTCCGTGTCCCTCTGGCCGTGTCCCTCTGGCCGTGTCCCTGCCGGTGCCACAGCCTTCCTGGGCACCGGGGCACTCAGCTGGAGCGCTCCCACTGCCAACTGCCACCTTCGCTTCATTAATACATAAATAAATTACTTAAAAGGAGTCAATCCTGATTTTAAAACACAAGCTTGCCCTTTCTTGGGTTGGAATTGGGGACTGCAGAGACCTGGTGCTCCTAAGGCTAGAGCCAACAGCGATTAAATCAGAGTCAGGCTTACCGAAGGAACGACAAAAACTACATGTGTATTAATTTGTCTTCTGGGAATTATAACCACTCTTGCAATCAGAAAATGAACCCTGCCTCTTGAAGTCATGATCGATTTTGCTTCTTTCTCCGAGGCATCGCTATGCCCCGTTTATTCGCAGAAAAGTAAACCCGAACGAAGAGGTCCGGGTACAAGCATCTGCCCTCCCTGTCTCACCGCCACGGCTCCTGCCGAGACTCGCGGAGCCGGCGGAGCGTCGCTGCGGCGGGTGCTCGGAGCTTCAACCTCCCGCGGGGCTGTGAGCGGGGGGTGCCGGCAGCGGGCCCTTGCACCGCATTCCTGGGTTTGGCAGGGCTGCTTTCTCCAGGCCGGTATCGGATTCCTCCCAGGCGTATGATTTCACTTGAAGTCCTGGCCAGAAGCCCTTCAAAGTGCGCTCTTTTCCCGCTCCCATGATGTCAGGCGGTTTTCCCTGCATCTGTAATTTTAAGCAAAACAAACAAATGAGCGGCGGCGGGGGGGGAAGCGGGGAGGGGGACACAGAAGTCACAGAAGAGAGGAGGGGGAAAGGGGCTCACCTGCGGCGCAGGCAGCGCGGGCACCTGCCGCCCGGAGTGAGCCGCCGAGGGGCTCGGCTTCCCCAGGAGCCATGCCCGGGAAGAAGCTTTGCCCCCTCCGCCGGTGCCCCCCGGCCCGGTGCCGGCCCGGCTGGCCCTGTTCACACGGCGCTGCCTCCTCTGCCCTGCTCCCGCTGAGCGGTAGCGCTCCGCCATAAATTAACATCTTTGGAAAGAGGGTGGTGGTGGTGATGGAAAGTTCAGTTCACCCCGCAGAGGGATTCGGGAGGCTAAGGCAAAAAAAAGAGGCTCACACATCCTCCACATCCTACCAGGGCTTGCTTTATTTGCCGCACTCATAACCTGGCCGCAATAAACATGGCACAGGATGTATTTTACATTAACTTCTGCACCAGCTTCTTTCGACTTCAGTCCACTTAATGTTCTTGGCAAATCAAAGCACGTGTCCTTTGAAGAAGGTGTGTAATTGGAGTTTAAGGCATGTATGGAATTCCCAGATGTCTATAAAGTAAGACGGAGCATTTGGCAGGTCACTTGAAGGTGGAGCAGGTTAAAGTCACTTGTACAAAAGTCCCGTCCCGTCCCGTCCCCCCCCTTTTTCTTTCTTTTTTTTTTTTTTTAAGCAAACAGCCAGCCATTTATAAGGGCCAAGTGATCGAGATTGAGGGAGGCTTAGAGCAATCTTCCAGGGCAGGAACAATAAAGTCCCGGAAACATAATGATGATGGTAACACCCGCCTAAAAATCCGAAATAAAACGCAAAACTAACCCAAATACTCAGATCGGGAGAAATCTGCCCGTTCTCCCAGTAATTCCCCATTTCAGAAGCACTTGCACCCCACTTATTTAGGTAGTCTTCTTGTTTGGGTAGCCGACACTTCCTCACTCTTTTCATAAAGAGGTGGTGTAAATTTTCAGGAACTTTACGAAAATTTCCTAGTTCACTGCATGGGCAGGGGCAAAAGAGGACACGTTTTACTCCAGAACAAGCCCGACGAACAACCTGGAAATCAAGACTGCTACAGTGATAACAGCAGCGATTACCATTAATATAAATAATAACGGAATCGGTCTGGGACAATTAAGTACGCATCGTTCGGCTTTGGGAGCTTTACTAGAACTGGTGCAGTATCTCAGCCCGCTCAGAACCGAGGGTTTTCTTGGAGGGCAAACTCTGGTCCCTGCGATGTCGAAATCCCTCCCTTCAATATTCCTGCTGGCCGGAGACCCGCTCTGCCCTCCTAATGAGGGGAAATGTGGAACAGGGGGGAAGAAGGATGCTCTCGGGAAGGGTCGGGATTGCCCCCTCATGTTTAGGGTTGCTTTGTTCTGTTATGGACGCGGCAGAGTCATTAAACAAGCAGTCAAGAAAGGAGCAATCCACACGGCTGCAGCCGTGGGGGAAAGACGATCTTCAGAGGGAAAATTTTGACATGTGAAAAGTTAAGCAGGTACCTGAAGGAGGTTTATTTTGACCTTTTATGAGCTTTTATGAAAATGTCATGTGAAGCGAACAGATGTACATCTTGCAAATAGAGCCCCGCCTTATAAACACTGGAAAGAGAAAGGCTCACAGAAAATCAAGCATAAGTCGTTCCCCTCGTTTTCGATATGTTTGTACATAGACATACAGTGTCTAGGATCTACTGAAATACTACTTTTTATTCATGTATTTGTTTGTTTGTGAAAAGGAAAACGCAGCTGTTGGGTCCAAACTTGCTATCCTCTTCCAGTGCGGGGAAGCAAAGTCACTTTCTCCTTTCCTCCCTTCCTGCCTTCATTTACTTCCTTCCTTCTCTTTCTTCCACCATCTTTTTCTTTCGTTTCTTCCAATTTCCTTACTTTTACCTCTCTCTTTCTTTCTTTCTCCCCCTCTCCTCCGTCTGTTGCTCTTGCTTTCTTTTTCTTTCTCCTTTTCTTCTTTTCTTTTTCTCTTCTTCTCCCCTTTTTTTTCTTTCATTCTTTTATTCTTTCATTCTTTGCCTCTTTCCTTCTTTCCTTCTTTCTTTTATTTTCTCCCTTTTCTCCGCTTTCTCTCTCCCTCTCTTTCCTTCTTCCCTGTCCGTCGTCCCCCCCTTTAGTCTCGGGTCCGTTTGATCCTAAGGAAAGTATCGGATCTCTGCTGGGAGGAGAAACTGAGACTAATCAATTGCCTTCTGTTTGAAGGTGGGTAGAGACTCCTGAGAGGAGCTAGGGAGAGCCTGGGCTGACAGCCCCTAGCTCTCCGGGAGCGGAGAGGCAGGCGGCTTTGCCCGGCGCTCCCGGCCCTGCGCCCGCCGCCGGGGAGCGGGACTTCGGGGCGGGGGGGGGGATCCCAGCCCTTCCCTTGCCCTTCCTGCCCTGCCCGGCGGC